CAAAATTTAAAAAAAAATTTTAGGGGTCGCTACCAGTGCTTAAAAAATTTTAAATTTTGTTAGATCGCAAAAATTCAACAATTCGATCACATATAATTGAAACCTACTCATTTTACGATTTTAAAAAATACTAATTTTTGCAAACCCTAGTAGCGAGCCCCAAATATTTGTTTAAAATATTTAAATTGTCATGAATGTCTTTATTTTATACGTGGACCAGTACAGAATTTAGATGTTGATATTTTTAAGAACCACCCTAATTTATATATATGTAGTACATATGCATGTACCTACAAGCATCAGATATGCGAAAGTTTCAATTGACGTTTTGTACTGTATAATAATAATAATTTTTTTTTTTTTGTACATGATTTTTAACCGACTTCACAAAAAGGAGAAGGTTATCAATTCATCGGAATATTTTTTTTTGTAAGTATGTTACCGTATAACTTTGGATAACGTTAAACGATCTCTATAATTCTTTTTTTTAAAGGAAAGTTATTACCTCAATGGTGGTCCCATTCTAACTTGGTTTACATTCGATCAAAGGATCATGAAGAGATTAACGATAATTTTAAATTTTTATATGCGAATTGAAGTTGGTTTTGTTTTTTGCTTAAAAATTACTTGTTTTAATTTTACTTTCCTTTGAGTCTTTTTTTATGTCTATTTAGCCATTCATGTTTATTTTGTATATTTTTTTTATACGCTGTCGATACCATTTAAAACTTTAATACGAGTAATACAGAAAATTAAAAAGGTTAAAAATAATTATTGAAGTAAAATTGGGTACGAGCATTGGTTAGTGAGTATATGTAAATTAAGCAAAAACTTCAAGCAGAGAAGGAAATTGTTTTGCTTTTTTTTAATTGCAGCCAACAAAAATTTCACTAAAAATGCAGTTAAGTGTTGAATAATCGTTAGCGTCTTATAGTCTCCGCTACTTTTTTGTGCCGCTATTTTTTAACTCTCCTCCACCTCTTCACTATCCAAACCATGCACATACACTCTCTTTGCGATACCTTGACCATGCCTGCCCGTCAGTCAATCAGTCAGTTATGCGGCAACGAAGTCATCAATTTATCACGCAAATGTTGTGCAAAATTAATTATATCCGACTTTTCAATAAATATGTTAGACAACAATCACTTGGCAGACAGAGAGCTTAAATATTTTACTAGCATTGACTTTTGCACAACCACACAAATAAGCATAATGAGCGCAGTTATCTTTGTTGTTACAGTTGGTCACACTTTTGCTTAATTTTTCTTTTCGGAAACGTGTGCCACCATTTTTTAGTAGCTCCCGATCAGAGAAGCGCACCGAGTGTGATCAAACTGAGTATATCCCACTAACCGTCCATAATTTGTGCTACTTATATTCATACTAATTGAAATGCCCTCGAACATCCTATCCACTCTTAAGTATGAGGTATCTATTTTACTTCAACTCTCCTTGGCTTGATGTGCAAAGAGATGAGTGAAATAAGTATGTACGCATGTACATACGCACATTAAAAAACTCAAAAAGGACCAAAGTACTTAATTAAAAGTTGTTTGTTTTTACAAGTTTTGGGTCACTGCACACGAAAATAATTTTAAGAAAAATGTCCAAAGGTTCGTTTTAGAAATAGGTGCCTGTGAGTACCAAAATAGCGAACCTTTGCCGATCACTGCTCCCGAACCAAATTATTTTGAAGTGAAACTTCTTTGCGCTCGGTTGGGTGTAAATCCAATCAACGAAGAAAGGAAAAACTTATTCCAAACTCCAATGAAAGGAGAAAGCGATAGAAGAAGGGAATGGATGGCGGGCGTGGTTGGACACAATTAAGATATGAATAAGATTAAGACTAAGATTAATATAAACATTAAGATTAAAAATAAGATTAAGAATTGAGAATCCTTAATTAATTTTAAAGTTAAGATTACGCTTAATATTAAGATTAGGATTAAGATTAATATTAAGACGAAGATTAAGATTAACATTTAGAAAAAAGGGTAAGATTAAATTAAGATTAAGAATTAAGATCAAGATTAAGATGAAGATGACGATTAAGCTGAAGATAAAGAGGATAATGAAGATTAAGATAAGATAAAGATGAAGACTTAGATTAAGATTAAGAATTAAGAATAAAGATTGATATAAAGATTAAGATTAAAATTAAGTTTAAGATAAAATTAGGTGAATATTAAGAATTAAAACTAGAGTGAGGTTAAGTTATATATAAGTATTCAGATTTAGATTAAGTTTAGCTCCTGAATTCAGTGTCTGGTACGTGTAGCATCAAATAATGAAAACGAATTTTTGAAATTAAATTTCTGTGCGCTCGGTTGGGTGTAAGACCAATCAGCGATGAAATAAACAAGCTACAGGATCAACGAGCTGTTATTTGAAATTGAAAGGAAAGCGAAAGAAGAAGGGGGGGGATGGCGGGTGAAGTTGGGCAGACTTATGAATAAGATTCCGAATAAGACTAAGATTGAAATTAAAATTAAGATTAAGACAATATTAAGATTAAGATTAAGATTAAGACAAGATATGAAGATGCAGATTAATATTACATAAGTTTAAGATTAAGAATTAAGATTAAGATTGAGATGAAAATGAAGATGAATAACATAAGATTAACATTCAGATTAATATTTTGATTAAGAGTAAGTTTAGGTTAGTCTTAATATTTAGATTAGGATTAAGAATTAAGAATAACATTATCTAAGATTAATATGAAGACGAAGTTTAAAATTGAGATTAAAGTTAAGATTAAGGGCCAGTTTTTCAGTGCACGGCGGTGGTTTGAAACTTAGTTTAAACGCCCAAAGTGGTTGGTTTAAACTAAGATTAGTCAATCAAATGTCAACGAGCTGTTCATTTTAAACTCAGTTTACGTAATCTGAGTATAAACTGCTGCTTCTTACTAAGCAGACGAAACTAGAAGGGAACTTGAAAGCATGCAACTTCGACAGTGGTACAGCAAGCTTTGCCTAACCCGACGAAATGCAATAAACGGGGTGTCTATTACATTCGGGTACTGACTATTTTCGAGCAAATTAATAAATTAAAAAAAAAAAACGATTTAGAGGTGTAGGCAGCTATCGATAGTACAATATAATAAATATGATAAAGTTCCATCCTTCTTTTGTCAGACAGTTTTATTTTTGTTTTTCGTCAGTTATTTAATTTAAAATTTCTCTATTGTTTTATAAAATATCGAAAATGTCCAAATGTCATTCCACTGGTCATTGGATGCGCTATGAGGCCAACATGCCTACACCAAAATCTATTACACATGAAAGTCTGGAGGCTGGACGAAAAATGGCATCAAACTTACGCATAATCGCTCGTAAGCAACTCAACTTTCAATCGTATCCGATGAATGATTTCCGATTTGATCTGCTGCAATTGGATAAACCTAAAGAGTTTCAAAATATTTCCACATACAATCGCGATTACATCGCGCCACATCCACCGAAATGTAGTCCGAAAAATGTACATGACGTAGAGTCACCAGATCCACTTTTTAATCGAAGGGCTGTTAATGAGTTCGAAATGGTGCCATGGTCGGACACCAAGTTCATGGACGACAAATTGTTCAATGTTTCCGAGCAGCGAAAAAGAATCAATTTCTTTAGGCAATTACGAAATCGTAGTTTTCAATTTGAGTAAAACGAGTAGAAGGAAGGAAATGCTAGACCGGAACGTGCACATGTGTACATACAAACGTACATACATATGTAATAGGTACTTACAAACGTGCATGCATTACAAATAAAACTTAAGCGGAATAAATGAAATTTATTTAACGCTAATTACCTGTCTTATTAAAGGATTATCCGCATGCTGGCTGATTTAATACAGTTTTTCTGAGCGATTTTGCTTTTGGAAATTGCAAAGGAACGATTTCACTTCGGCAAAGCCCCACACCGAAACACATTTACACACAAGTTGGTTTTACAATTGGGATGCCCACTATAGTAATAAAAGTTGGTATCGCTTATTTTCTTTGCATTAAATACCAAGAAAGTAATCTGAATTCACTATATCATTAATTTTTAACTCTAGTGACTCGCTTGCATACGAATTTTGTTCGATAAAGCGCGAAACTGGCATTTTGTAAGCAAAGCGACTCTGTATTTACGCTTCCGCGACTATAGCGCCGTCTGCTGGTAGTATATACGTAGCGCATTTCCAAGATGTGTTTAATGAGCACACATGGTTGCATTGTGCGGTCTCTAAAAAATCGAGGTTTTGCTTTGTCCTGAAAAAAACGCTCGTCGACTCACGCTTGGATAACACGTGCTAACAGTGGTTTTCATTATTATATTAAACATAAGAATTATTTTAATACATAAAATTTTATTTACAGAGATCGTATAACGGAAAAATCGCCGTCCCTCCAGTCAACTCAGTGCTATCAATACTAATTTTAATAAAACTTCACTGCAACACTGTTTGTGTCGAGTGGGAAAAGTTTGTTTCGCTGGTTGACATTTTTCTTTTTGGGAATTTTGTTCGAAAACTGTAAAATTCTGGTTATTCGAGTGAAAATTGTTTAAACAAATACGATACGAGAGGAAAATAAAAACGTGTAAACCCACAACAATAGTTTGAACTTGCAGAAAAGGTCGTTGAAAAAAGTAAGTGAAATATTACAAACAAATCGACGCCATCGCAGAGCTAGGCGCAGTGGCGGAAAATTGAAGGAAAACTAAAAAAGTACACATACATTTTCCAATTGCCCATTTCCAAAGGCGGACAGACGAAAAGTGACGCTTTTAACACGGCGCAGGTTCGCTTTGTATTAAAAACGAGTGAGTGAGTGGTTGAGGGTGCAGCAAGCTGGCTGCGTGTGCGACCAAGGTGAAGGGAGCACGTATATCATAGAAAAATTGTAACTAGCCGTGTTGCACAAGACGAATCAACAAATAAAACACAGGAGCAAAACAAAGCAAGTGGAAAGTAAGAGCATTGACAGCATCATCAGCAATAGCAGCCAGCAAAAATCGAAAGTCATAGCCATGAGCTCGGTAAGTGTACTGCATCCCACATAACATGCAGCTGTTTACGTTGGTTATCATATTAAAAAAACACTCTTGTATACATTTCATGTTTGCTTCATTTTTCATGTGCTTGTGCAGATATCAAATGTGGAAAATTTGTCACCACAAACCATTCGTCAAGTAATGAAGGAAATGCAGCAGATCAGTGAAACACCATTGGAAGGCATAAAAATACAAATAAATGACGCTGATGTAACTGACATTCAAGCACTTATCGAGGGTCCAGGTGCGTACGAGAGCATACATATGTATAGTACTTAAATAGATACGCAATTTGTGGTTACTCCCGACCACTGCAACTACTTGAAATTTGAAGGAAACGTGACAAATAAGAAAAATCAATGCCACTTGCCCTTGAGACACAAATTGTGCGGCCTTGCCGAAATAATGCTCTAGTGCTGCGCTTGCAGTATTCCAATTTTCGAACATTTACATATTCTATTTATCTAAACTTATATTGCACACATTTTGTTGGGCTTTATAGAAATGCGTATAAATTAATATGTAGTTAATTTGTATATACACACATAGTTACGTATAGACTAAATTTATAATTTAATTGCAGCTGGCACGCCATATTCTGGTGGAGTTTTTCGTGTCAAGCTAACACTCGGAAAAGATTTTCCGCAATCACCGCCCAAAGCCTTTTTCCTAACAAAAATCTTCCACCCAAATGTGGCGGCCAATGGTGAAATTTGCGTTAACACATTAAAGAAGGATTGGAAACCAGATCTCGGTATTAAACATATATTGCTAACCATTAAATGCCTTCTTATTGTACCCAATGCGGAATCTGCGCTAAACGAAGAAGCTGGCAAATTGCTACTTGAACGTTATGATGATTATTCTCAGCGCGCTAAAATGATGACAGAGATTCATGCTCAGGTTAGTATTTTCATGTAATATTTAATTTTAAGATTTAGGGATAGGCCATAATAACATTTGCATCGGAATTCAAATTAAGCAGATCAAATATTATGTTTGTATTTTTTTATGACTATCTCTAAAGTTTTCACTAAAATAACCTGAACATAATCCATCTCTAATTTAATTTGCATTTCGTCGTATAAAGTACAAAACTGCGTAGGGTTGATGGATAAACATAAATAATAAATAAATATGAAATTTCAGCGTGATTAAAATTTTTTTAGAAACTTTACAGCACAAAAACAAATCGATTTAATAATTTCCCAAATATCTCTAGAACGGGGCGAGGAAATAATTTGAAAAAAATAACACATACACACATCAATATTATCTATAAAAAGAATTTTTTTTTTTTTTTTCTTGAAAAACTTTTAACACAAATTTTTTGATAAAAAAATAGTTTTTGAAAATATGGCATCACAAAAAAAAAATTAAAAAAATCACAATGGTAGCTCTGAGTATTGCGCAACATTTAAGTATAGTATTATGGGTACACTACAATAATTTGAGTTATGCATTTTTTTTTACACCGAAGTTGAGAAAAATGAGTGCATTACGAATTTACAAATTTTCTAAATTTTTTTTAGATTTTTTTTTGAGTATGCATATTTGTACGCGATTTTCTAGCCGGTTGAAACTTGCACTTCATTCGACTAAAATTATATGGTCTGCAAAACTACATACTCGAAAATTTCTTAGAAATTCTGAATAAAAAGTTGAAAAATTTAATGAAATTTGGAATTTTCGTGAACTTTATATAGGGTTTGAAATAGGGATGACAGTGACAAAAATACATCGATGTTTTTCCTTGATTCGATCCATCGAAATGTACATCGATATTTTTTGATGCATCGAAGGGCATACATCGATGCATCGATTTGCATAGGATTTTTCAGATAATGTTTCACAACAAAATATATTATTAGGAAAATTGTAGAAAATTTGAAATAAATTACTGCAACTGAGCTAATTGTGTTTCTAACGGAACTTCTTGCAGCCATTTAAATTGTTTGGCCGAAGTCACTTCTTGTTTTTGAACAATTGAAAAACTGGAATGACGGTTCAATGTACCGTAGATGTCAGTTTTCAAAAAACATGATGCATCGATGCATCGATACATCGACTATTTATACATCGAGTGGAAAATTTTCGATGCATCGAAGCAAAACATCCAATATTTTCGATGCATCGATGTTTTTCCGACATCCCTAGTGTGAAACCTTGATTTATATGGTTTAAATTATAGACCGAACTATATTTGCATAAATAATGGAAAAAAAAATTTTTCGTGGAAAAAATTGTGAATATTGCACTTTCATTTGTCGCCTGGTGTAACTTAAGTCTTTCTTTTGTAGAAGTTCTATCTTAACCGTAAGTTAGTTACCCCTGCCAGACTAAATTCGGTAACCCATTCGACTTATCATTTTAAATATATACATATGTACATACATATATCTAATTCTAACAAATTTCTTTCAGCCCGCTAAGGGGGCGGCTAGTGGTGATGTGAAAGATGATGATGGTCCCTCGTCTAAAAAACATGCCGTTGACAAAAAACTTCAAGATAAGAAAAAAGAGAAACTAATTAAGGAGAAGAAGCGCATGTTGAAGCGGTTATGAGGCGGTGGATGTAAACGAAATGAGCCTATCCTGCAGGCTGTAACACTTCAAGTCACCTTCGCGTTCAATTCTTAAAGAAAATTAAAATACATAAATGCAAACTAAGCCAAAACATCAACAAAATCAAGTGGCAAGTGCAAAAACAGCAGCAGTTATAATTAACAGTAAAAACAAATATTAAATTAACTATAACCCAGAAAAGTATTGAAAAGAGGTGTATGTGAGAAGACGAGCAGCAGCACTCTCAATAAATACCCATCAATAACCATAACAAGAAACTCCCTCCACACATAATATAAAGCAATCTCTGAAAAACCACGGTCTTTATTGGAAAATCTCGCAAAATGCTAATGTACAATGCTTCAATTTATAACTTCAGCTTACAAATGCAAATGCATTTTATTTTATATTCTTCGCTAGCACATCATACGTTAAATGGATTAATTATAAGGCACTTGGCGTTTTATTACTTGAATTTACTTAAATTTGGATTCGATACCGTAGACATCACAAGGAATTTTCCTTACTTAAGTCATCTTCGATGTCTTTACTTCTCTCTGAGTTTCTCCTTTACCAAATTAGTCAAAATAGTGTAATTGTTTTAAAAAAGCAAATTAAAAACGTAATACTAAGTTTTATTTTAGCATTAATTTATCTAATATTTGTATTGTTCTTAATTGCCTACCTACAAACTCAAAAGAGAAACTAAACCAAAACTAACTTAATGCTTATGCGCACTATGATACATGCACACCTCTATGAAGAAAAATAAAATAAAAAACAATTCAATAGTAATATAATTTTGAGCGCATTGCATAAGAAGGGAACGCGCGCTTACTTAAATACATAAATACATGCACAGGTGTTTACATACATAGAATTGCAAACAAAAATATTATGCATATAAGTATGTATGTAACACAGTGTGGACAGAAATGAGTACACGGTGATTTTTTTGAATATTTGCAAGGTTTTTAAAAAAAGGTAAATTTTTTTGTTATTTTTTCACAAAAAGATGGTTCAGGCTTTAATCAACACCATATAAATCAAACTTTAAAACTTTATACATATTCATTAAAATTTTTTTTCAAAACTAATGAAGTTTTAAAGTTCGACTTATATGGTTTTTGTTAAAACATAAATCATATTCTTATCAAAAAAATAAAAATAAAAAATAAATAACAAATTTGTACTTTAAAACTATTGCAAATATTTAACAAAAATCACCGTGTGCTCGTATTTGTTCGACCCACTACATGTGGTTTGTCTGTACGCTTGTACGATCGTTTCTTTGCAGCACATGGCGTATTTGCATTCGAATTGTATTCGCTTCACATTTCATTAAATATTATATTGCTATTTTTTGTATATACATACATATGTATGTACAACTGGTACTCGCCACAAATCGCCATCAAAAACACCCACATACATACTTATTGAAAGCATTCGTCGTTGGTTATACATATTATAGATACTTACATATATGCCTACTACTTATTACTAGATATTATTACTGATGAAGAAATATAAAAGCAAAAGAATCACCAAACAAACACCTTTCCGTGTACCAATTTAGCGTGTAGTATTCAGAAATAAAGAAGCAATTGTAAAAAAAAAAACTTCAAAATGCCAAACCACATTGTTCTTATAATTTCGATTTGATGATCATTGAGTATACTGGAATTTGTTACATGTCACAGTCTGCGGTGGATGCAGGAAGTAGCGACAATACATTTGCTCGCCTTTAATGAGTTTCTGCTAAAGTATGTGGGCGTGTAGAAGAACTTCATGAATTTTATAATTTTAATTTGATTCGGGAAACGTGCGCCTTATGTCCGAGTTTTTTCACTTGCTTTATTTTAGCCCTCATCGGTCCCCCCAAAAAAAATTTGTCGAATTGGTTCTTGTGTATACGCTCGTACACAAACAGATCTGCAAATTCTAATCAGATTTTTTAGAACAATTCTAAGCATATAGTTTTATAGCCCATTCATTTTTGGTATAACAAAATGCAAGTTTGAAGTTGCTAGAAAATCGCGTTGATTTTTAGCAATTTTTTTAGTTGAAGGCGTTTCTCATTTTTCTTCATACAAAAAACGATAGTCAAACATACTTTGTATGGAAGAACCTGCTAAATAGTTTTATTTCATTATTCGACCGCTTTACTTACATACATAAATATGTACATAAATTACTATTAATTACTCTATATCTTAGCGCTAAATGTTCTAAAACCATATTGACATGAGTACAAATACATACATATTTTATTTATATCTAACTGTGAAAATTTACGCGCTGCATTAGTTCTCAAATATGTTAATTGTCTTTGTTGTAATCGTCGCGTCACAGCAGCTCAACTCCAAAGTCAACATGGACTATTTCCTCTCTAATGTACATATGCACAAATGCACATATATGTATGTAGGAACAAAGCATACTATATACTACGTAAGTTTCGTAATAATTATTGAGCTGGTTTCAAGCAAAAAAAAAAGCAAATCTTTTGTTCAATGTGGGTTTACTTTTATTGTTAATTTTTTTATTTTTTCTATGTAGGCACACGAAAAACCAACAACCACAACACTTGACTTGCAACACCGTCATCATATCACTCAACGACTGTGTTGGACGGACACTTGTCATATGTTAATGTCTACTATGCACCTCCTGTGTTGGGGTGTGTGTGTGCGTGGCGCGCATTCTGCAGTGGATTATAAACCTTATTTTGTACTTTTTACATAGGTTTGTACATACATACATAGAAGTAGTGGTGGCAGTAGTATGTGCAAATTGACTCGCGCTAAATTTATGCTGTGCAAAATCGAATGGCTTACAAATGTTCTGTGTTATGTTAACGAAGCAGGCTGTTAAGGTGAGAAGGAAGTAACTACAATGCGAATATGTCGACATCTATATAAGTAAGTACACATTAGCACATACTTACATACATATTGTTTCGTGTATATATGTATGTACATAGAAACGTTAGGATTTTAGATATTTATTTTGCGATAATACTTAAATAAGATTAAAACATGTCTCACATGAAGAATAAACCGCAGTATTCACATACAAGTACAAAACTTCTTGCTTTTGAAAATAATACTCTGTATATGGGCCATTCCATTGTGACAGCTGGGACATTTTATTTTATTTTATTAGACATTCTGCTTTTGAGCATAGTAATATCGGAAGATAAAGATTATAACATATCGACGATTCAAAAACGCCCTATATCAGCACATTTTCCATACATTTTGAAGTGAGATAGAGCGTTCTTCAACCAAATTCTGAGATAGAGTGTTTTTCAATAAAATTCTGAAATAGGACGTTCTTGAAAAGTTTTTTGAGATAGGGCGAGATAGGTCGATCTTCCACTCAGCAGTCGATATTCATTGAATTAATAGCTTCTGCTCAATTTTACTGCAGAGTCACGATGGTTCGGTGCTCATGATACACCACACAGTTAGGAGATTCATTTAACTCGACAATGGCCCGAAAACCTTGAAACCTCGAAACTTTTCCAGACTCGAAAAACAACTGTCAAAAATTGGGTGAATGGCGCTTTTCGCGTGCCGCGAAAGCTTTCAAGACAAACTTGTCGCGAAAACACCCTCGAAAAGTAGTAATTCGTAAATTTTAGTGTGGCTTTTATATATTAATTTATACAATTAGACACGAAAATTTTTATTTCGTTTTCTACTTTTACATGGAATGACCCATATACACATACATATGTATGTATGTATGTACTTGCTAGCTTTTGCCGGCAGCTCCACCCGCGCGAATTTCGGTTTAACGTTACGATTTCAAATGTGACAAACAAATAATTTATATAACCGCAAATAAAAAACTAATTTAATTAAAAAAACTTATTTTCGCTAGGCTCCATTACATGTACCAAATTTGCGAAATAAGTATTTAAAACACTAAAAACTTAAAATTCGTAGTTAATCTTTATACTACATAAGTACTATCTATATTAATTTTTGTTTTTAATTATTTTTACAGTAGGCAATCCTTTACAAAAAAGGTGTCTGGGTATAGGCATATACGTACATACATATGTATGTACATACCACCACTTATTGTTTAACATTTTTTTTAGTTTAAACAGAATAAATTCATTGAGATTTGGGAAAGGTGGCAAATCTTTGTTGTAAAGGCGAAAGATATTCCATTAAATTTGATTTAAAAAAAGGGGCCCGATTATCAAAACTGTTTTCGTAATAAAGCATTCTTAAACATTTTTCGTATGACATCCACTTAGTAATTAGTCTGTTCCAATGCGAATCTGGTTTACAGGATTTAGTCAGAACTTACACCCAGCTACTTCACTGTACGGCAAAATCAACTTTTCATAGGTAAAACAGTGATTTCTCTGTTTTTCGAAGTTAGCCGCCGAAATCGAGATATGGGCCTTCGAAGTTCGAAATAAGACCTTTGGTAAAAAATTGTGTTTAATTATTGCATGTAAATAACTAAAAAACCTAAAAATATAGACTCACTCCTCCTTTTGCTCTTATTTAAATGGTATATAACTTTTATGTAAACTTATATTACAGGTGCTATAAGGGGCCAAAGTTCAGGTTTTCGAAAAATTAAACTCCTTATATTGCAAACAATTTTGAACTGATTAAAAATTTATATCGTTGTAAAGGTAATTAAGCCCCGTTTCTTCCGATTTGCATATTTGTATACTCGTATATAAAAATTTTAGAAAAAACACATTTAAATTAAAAAATTGTTTTTTTTATAAAGAAAAATATTTTAAGCAAAAAAAATACTAACAGTTTAAAAAAAAAATAGTATCGTTGTAAAGACGATTAAATCCCCTTTCTTCTGATATGCATATTTGTATACTTCGTACATAAAAATTTGAGAAAAAACACATTTTATGGAAAAAATACAAATTTTTCTCATAAAAAATATTTTAAACAAAAAAGATTACCAATTAGTAATACAATTGAATACTTTATCTAAATAAAACAGAAAATTACCTTTAATTTTTATATATAACCTGTTATGTAAAAAATCAAAAACCATGGTGTTTTTATATTTTTATATGCCTTAGGCTTTTGTTACATATAATTTTGCTTTCTTTTTAACAGGGCTGTGGGTGAACAAGAACGAATTAATGCTTAATACGCTAGCAATTATTTGTTTTATTTAAATACGGTATTCAATTGTATTACTAATAAGTAATTTTTCATTAATTTTTTTTATAAGAAAAAATTGGTGATTTTTCCTTTTAAGTGTTTTTTCTAAAATTTTTATTATGAAGTATACAAATATGCATATAAGAAGAAAGGGGGTTTGATCGCCTTTACAATGATGCCAACGTTTTAGTAATCTTCTTCTTTAAAATAATTTGTTTATACAAAAAAAAGGTATTTTTTCATTTAAATATTTTCCTTTCTGAAATTTTTATATACGAAGTATAAAAGTATGCATATCACAAGAAAGGGGATTAAATCACTTTTACAACGATATGATTTTTTTTAAAATCAGTTCAAAATTTTCTGAAATATTCAGTTTTTAATTTTTCGAAGATCTGACCTTTGACCTGTTATATAATCTTTCACAAAAAAATATATATACCATATAAATGAGAGCAAAAGGCGGACCACGTCTGTATATTTACTTTTTTTGCTTTTTACATGCAATAATTAAATAAAATTTTTTACCAAAGGTCCTATTTCGAATTTTGAAGGCCCATATCTCGATTTCGGAGGCTAACTTCTAAAAGCGGAGAAATTACTT